AAGTTTTAAATTACACCAAAACTCTCTTCCTTTCCTCGTTCCTGCCAACACGCCAACACACACTTCTTAAATTTTTTTTTAATGTTTATTTATCTTTGAGAGAGAAAGAGACAGAGTGTGGGTGGGGGAGGGGCAGAGAGAGAGGGAGACACAGAATCTGAAGCAGGCTTCCAGGCTCCGAGCTGTCAGCAAAGAGCCTGACGTGGGGCTGGAACCCACAAACAGTGAGATCATGACCTGAGCCGAAATCAGATGCTCAACCAACTGAGCCACCCAGGCACCCCTTGCCAACATACACTTCTTAAGTGTCCATTAGATATGTCAGAGATGGATGAGTACAAAGTACTTAGCACAGTTTTCCCGTGGATGGTAAGTACTCAGTGAGTGACGAGTACTTATCCCTATTTAGTACTACTCCCAAGGAGATCATTGCAAATTTTGGTGTGATTTGTCATCTCGTGCAGTGAACGCCTTACCAAGAAGACGTTTTACCATGATGCCTTTTTCTGGTCAGAAGCTGATGTTTGTGATAGCACAGTCCATTCATTGGTCAGAACAATGACAACAACGCATGTATGCGAAATCCGTTTTCTAGGGGTTTCTACAGGGGTGGTGAAACAAAATCTGTCTGAAAGCCTTGATCCAAACATTGGGCTAATGAGGACATGTGGCCTTAGATGATTTGAAGACTGTGTAAAAGGTTAATGGGTTACTATTTAAAACCATACGTAAAGACTTTTTTTCTTCAGTTTGGAGGGCTGCGTTTTCTAAGTTCGCACACAAATTCCTTTTTATAGTGGGTAGGCTGCCTTTCTCAGCTGCATACTGTCATTCCTAAACAATCCTAGAGCTAAAAATTTTAAGTGCTGTCACCCAAAATTGCTAGACAGAACTTACTCTTTAATTTGTCTGTCACTCTGTCTGTCACTCCACTTGCACTTTGTGGTGACGCACTGGTTCAACTGTCATATCCTGTACTCTTTTACAATAATAAAAAAAAAAGAGGCCCCAGTTGTACTCCTGGGATGGCTGGAGCAGTCACCTCCAGCTGCCCAGAGCTCTTCCGACATAAACTTTGGCAGTGAGTCCTGCTGACAAAGTGCAAGTAAAGTAACAAATCTTTACTCTTTTACATGAATGATCCCTCACCTAGAAACTGTCAATTAGTAGCAAAGACTCAAACACTGAGAAGCAGAGGATGGGGAGAGATGTAACAACTGGTCACCCCAACCTTTTACTATAAGTGTACTGTAAGCAAATGACTTGCTGTAGGTGCCAAGCTCAGCAATGCTTCACAGAGGCAGGTAAGAAGTGCATTCACCTGCCTTTTTCTCACTGTCTGAGCACGGAATTTCTGGAGGGAGCTAGTTGGTTCAACTATGGGGATTCTGTTTGGACTCCACATTTCGATTTGAACACTCACTTAGGTGGTGTTCAAGGCCGTGACAGGTTCCAGAGGGGAAGGAGAGATGGTGTCACAGTCAAGTCTGTGTGATAGGGTCCCAAGAGGAGTCAAAAAGTAAATTTTGGTTTAATCTCTACCTCCTGACCCAAATCCTTTCTGATTACTGCAGGAAGTCTTTGGGCGGGGGTAGAGGTAAAGAAAGAGCATCTCCTGCACTCCAATGTTATGACATGATCTCTTACTGCTCCCAGCTGGGGATCCTTGGCCCCTGTCAGCGTGGAGGCATACCTTCTTCTCACCTGTGTCAGCCCTGGTGTTAGGCCACCAAGCACATTCGGTATGTGTGCTGTATGCTTACAGAGACCTGAGTAATACAGGGCTTTGTTCTATATTGCTTTTCACATACAATATTCTTCTATCTGTGATTTTGGCTTTGACCCAGGGGGAAAGGATGGGGTGCAGGTTGAGGACCATCCTGTTGCTCTTCACTGTGTTGTTCTAAAGCCACCCTCTTTTCTAGCCCCTGCCCTAAGGCTGGAACTTAGCTTGACCCCTGTGCCTCCTTGACCTTCCATCTACACTGTCCTGTTCTCCCCTGAGCTCATCTACATGCTGGGGGATGAAGGGGTGAGGAAGGTGATCTCCAGTCCCACTGCCTATCAGACAGAGCCCCAGATGAGTTTGATTTTGCAACAAATGCACATCTCGGGCCTCTGTTCTGGGACCTCAGCAACAATAATGGCCTGTATCTTTTTTTAGTTTTTTTAAGTGAACAACTCGATTTTAATTTTATTTTTATTTTTGAGAGAAAGAGAGGCAGAGAGAGAGAGAGAGAGAGAGAGAGGGAGAGAGAGAGAGAATCTTAAGCAGGCTCCACGCCCAGCATGAAGCTTGATGTGGGGCTCGATCTCACGACTATGAGATCATGACCTGAGCCAAAATCAAAAGTCAGATGCTTACCTGACTGAGCCACCCAGGCACCCCAACAACTTGATTTTTAAAGGAAAATTATTCAAGGAAAGAATATTAGGAAAGGTTGGAGGATGTAAAACATTTTAAATACTCCATCTACTGATGATTTCCTTTTTTTAAAAAATCTCTGTTAAGTTTTGGAAGTGTGAACAGGGAGACTTTTTCTGGGTCTTTAATGGGAGGATCAACAGTTGGAGAATATATACCTGCCTCTGCAAGTTATTTTTTTGACAATTCTGTGGGAGTTGACGCTATCAATTCTCTGTTAGTCTTTTCATGCAGAAATGTTCCAAAATAGTAGATGATGCCCACAGCTCAGTTTACATCTGTCCCCTGATCTCCCAACCTTCCTCCCCTGTGAGGAGCTACTATTTTTCTGATTGGCTTCCTTTCTCTCCTTCTCCTTGAATTTCAGCTAAAGTCCATTTTGGGAACTTGTGCCTATAGTTTAAAAAACTTTATTGATGAGAGGCTTTGCTCTAATATATAATTAATAAGTCAGAACTTTATGTCCAAGATGCTTTTTAAGTGCCAACAAAGTGTTTTAATTTACATACTAAAGTCTTCATTTTGTTCTGAAACCTTTTGGACTTGCTTAATACATTTATCAAGTATGATTCCGAAAGTTCTTACATGGGCAATGTGCAGTGTGTGCTTAATAGATAACATTAATAAACGCACACTCAATCACAACACTAAAAGCCACTTCCATCTGGATTTACTGGCAATAAAAAGAGACATTACAGAACTTTGGGAATTTGATCAAGGCACCAAATACTAGTCTTAGATTACAAAACTGTAGACTCTAACTACTTGGGAAAACAAAGCAATCAAGGACAGACTTTTGTTAAAAGCTTTGCACTGTAGATTAATAATTAATGTGTTAAATGTACTTTGTAATAAACTCTATCATCATGGATTACTTTTGATAGCTAAATTGGCAATGATACCCCGACGTGGCTTCATTGACTCTGGCTTTCAATTTTACTTGCTAGATTTATCGGGTTAAACGACAACGAACCTATTCTAGGCCTATTTTAACTTGTTTAGAAATCATAATTAATTTAAAAGTATTGACAGAGACCGCAAAAATTATACAAAAATTGGCAAAGTTACAAAAACTAATAATGGGAGAAGGTCTTTAAAAGAGAAAGTGGCATAATCTACTTTTAAGGTAAATAAGTAGCTTTCAGTAGGGGAAAAGCAGTTCAAAGGAACCAATTAATGGTTTTCATTCAAGAGACCATTGAAGGTAGTGTTATCTGATTATTATATATGGATAATAAAGATGAATAATGCAGTAAGTTAGTCTAAAAATAGTCAAATGTTCCGGAAACAAGTAAATGCTAGATTATAATTATATATATTGTATATAATTTATATTATGTAAATTATAAGTTACATCAACTTTGAGGTCAGGAATTAGAAGTAGACTTAAGCATCAAATGTTTAGAAGACTGAGAAAATATCCTTTGTGATGTGTTTAAGTCCAGAACTCTGGGCACTTTTTTCAGAAATTGAATATAAATCCCACCAGAATCCTTTAGAACACACAGAGAATAACAAACCAAATAGACCATCTCTTAGAAAAGTGAATTTTATTTTCCTCAATCTTTGCCTTAACCTTAAGGAAATTGCATTTATTTCTATTTTCATAGGGCACTCCATTTTCAGAAGAGGGATATTCAAGGGTCATGCTGGAGTTAAGGTACAGGGTTACTGCAAAAATCTGTATTTCATCACTTGTTTTGAGAGTCCCTTATTCCCCACCCCCAAGTAACAATAATCTCACAAACACTTAGAACCTTACTTGTTGCAAAGGGTTTTTGTTTTTCAGTTGTATGATGCTGTTCATTATTTAAAAACTCACATGAAACAATAGTGTATTTGTTACAGGTATATGTAAATAGATTATGTGGGAAAAAACATACCATTGACAACGGTGCAGACTTCTGTAGAAGGAATAAAGATTGAGGTCTTCATCGAAGAGGACTGGGCCCACAAAGCACTCTCTCACACACTGTTTCTCTTATCCTTGAAACACGTGTAAGTCCAGTTTGTATAGGAAGTTCCTCTCTATTCATCTCACAAACAGTTGAGAACCTACTGTGTTTCAGCTGCTTGCGATGTATCAGTCAACAAAGCCTGTGACTTCAGAACCAAAACCCTTGTTTGATACTCTTGTTGATAAAAAATAACAGATGTAAAAAAACAAGTAGATTAAATAGGATGTTAGAGGGTGATAATTAGTATAGAAGAAGAAAAATAAATTTGGAAGGAGGTGAGGGCTTATCCATGGGGATATCTGGGTGAAGGGCATTCCCAGATGAGAGCCCAGTCAGTGTGAGATCCTTAGGAGGAATGTGCCTGTCCCTCTGAGGAAATGCAAAATGGCTCATGTGGTTGAAGCAGAGTAACGAAGAAATGAAGTCAGACAGACAATACAGACCACTGTAATGTCTTTGGTTCTTCCTTAAAGGGAAATAGGGAGCTATTGCAAGAGTTTGAGCAACAGAGTGACACAATCTCACGTGAATTTTAGAAGTTCCACGCAGCTGTTGTGTTGAAACAGAGTGTGGATGACAAGGTTCTCAGGCAGACCAGCCAGGAGGCTCACACACTAATTCAGGAGAGTGGTGAGGTGGCTCAGACCCAGGAAGGTCCAGGGGAAGTAGTGAGAAATGGATACAACTTGAACATATTTTGAAGGAATAGCTGACAGGATTTCCTGAGATTGGATGAAGGTAAAAGAGAACGGCATGTGAAGAAGGACTCCAAGGTTCTCTGACCTGAGCGCCTGGAAGGGTGGAGTTGCCATCAATGGGTATGGGGGAAGGCTGCAGGTAGAACAGGTTTTCGGCGGAAGGCTGGAATTCAGAGGTAGATGTGTGAAGTTTGATACTGTCTTTAAGTATATGTAGGCCAACTGCCAAGTAGGAAATTAGATTCCAGAGTCCAGAGTTTGGGAAAGGACTCTGGAGTGGATGTATGCCTGCATCTGGTTTTGGGAATTGTCAGTATGGTGATGGTGTTTAAAACCCTGAGGTGGATGAGACTGCCAAAGTTGTGAGGCTGGAGAGAGACAAGAGGACCAGGGACCAGGCTGTCTTCATGCTTCAGGCATTAAACACATACTTAATGAGCTAAAGATGTAATTGCAATAATGAGAAAGTTCTATGAAGGAAAACCTCATGGGGCTCTGGTGGAAGATGGTCAGCTCAGGGTGAGCCTCCCACAGAAAGTGGCACTAATTCATTCATTCATTCATTCATTCATTCATTCATTCAGAGAGCACAAGTGCCAGTGGGGGAGGGGGGCAGAGGGAGAGAGAGAGAGAATCCTAAGCAGGGGCTCATTGTCAAGCCCAAAGTGAGAGCTTGATCCCACCACCCTGGGATCATGACCCGAGTTGAACACTCAACTGACTAGCCACCCAGATGCCCCAGAAAGTGGTGCTTTCAAGGAGACCTGAAGGAGAAGTAGGAAGGAGTCAGCCAACTAAGACAGAGCAATTGTCTGAGCAGGCAACCTGGGGCGGCCAGGGGCGGGTGCACACTGAACAGAGCATGGGCAATTGGGGCAAGAACATGGTGTGCCATGGGAGGGTGATGTGAAATGCAGTTGAAGGGAAGGTAGGGGCCAGATTGCGTAAGGGGCCACGTGAGGATTTTGAACTCATGAGCAGTGGGAAGCCATTCAAAATGCTAAGAAGAAAAAGACTATAAAACAATGAATTAAAATCTTTTAGCTGGAAAGAAGTGAATAATGAAGGGCTTCAAGGACAGGGTAATGGAAGTTTCTGCTTAAAATGTGTATTAAATACAGGGGAGAAAGCAGGATGAATGAATGGCAGAATTGCAAAACAGGCTCTTGAGGTACAATGACTGAGACCAAAATAAGGTGGGATTGTGAGTAATATTTAATTTTTCAGTCATTTTATTTTAAAAAAAGATAAAAACCTCATAAAAGCTAGAGAGGAATAATAGAAACCAGGTATGGTATGGCTGGCGGTGTGATACCCAGACTGAGAGTTGCAGAAGAATGGAACTGGGCATGTAAAATAATGAATGCTACAGAAGAGACCAGGTGGCCGGACCTGTTTGTCCTTTGCTGTAATGTTAGAACAGGGCATGGTTAACGAGTGGTGACAAGCTATAGTCCGTCTACAATGAAAATCCAAAAAGAAAAAGAAAAGCCTCTACTAAGGATTGAGGGATATCGGAGGAAGAATGTTTTGACATTATAACACATGATAATAAATGTTGTGGGCTTGCCTTTTCTGAAAGTCTTTAGAAGCTGGGCAGACCAAAGGGTGACAATGTTCAAAATTAGTTAACTATGGTGAATCTTAGGGTGCTTTGCTAGTTGGACTTCTTAGTTTTAACTGCCCCTAACCAGGAAACCATTCACGAGGTGAGAGTGATGAGACTTAGTTAGCATAGAGAGACAGGAGAGGGACTTGGCGTTTTGCAGGAAGAGTTACTTGGGGCCAGGATGGGTAGCTGAAAAACAATCATGTATCATTCAGGGAGTTCTGTGGGTTCTCCTCACACAAGATGCATTGTAATTTGCAAATTTGCAAGGCAGATTCTCATCTGCTTGGGAAGGTACTCAAAGGGGGAAGGATACAATTCTAGCCCCTGTTTTTGTGAATACAATGGGCAGCTAATCCTGAATCAAAGGGAATAGTTTAAAGACCTTTTAAGAACTATGAGATTACTTGACAGTCAAATACTAGATAATCTTACAGAAATATTTTAAAGAAATATCTCATTAGCTCACTCATTTGTTCATTCATTCATTCACTTATTCATTCATTCAAAAAATGGTAATCAAGCTCCTCTTTGTGCCAGGAGAAGCACTAAATGCTTGATTGGCCTTTATCCTTACAGAGTCTCTTTTAATGGGGAAAACAAATAGTAAACAAGGAAATGAACAACTTTGATTTGTCCTATGAAAGTAACACACCAGATGGGGAGGTAAGTAATGGGTGTGGCTAGGGCAGGAGAGCCCTCTGAGATCAGGTGTTTGGGGAAGTTTTCTCTGGGGAGGTTATCTGAGCCGCTGATAGTCTGGAGCATTAGATCATCTCCACTCACATGCCCAGTGTTAGGTCAAGGTGTCTTCAATTTAATTTGTCCTTTTCAAAAATCTCCTTATGTGGTGAAGCCTTTATGTCCGTTTATGACAACTTTTAGAAAGCTTAACGCCTCTGCCACTAAAGTTATAGCTTCCATTTACCTGCAGGCATAATTCTTTATTAACATCTATTTTCAACTATGTTAATGCAATGGAAGCTTGGTACCTACAACACTGTAGTTCCCAGGACAGGCTTAAATAGGAAAAGACTCGATTACTAAATAAAATGTTCGCAAACAATTTGCATGTTCAACTGTAGGGGGAGTTAATATAGCTAATAGGAAAAATTCCACTACAAAAATGAATCTAATGGTTACTGGGGATTTGGAAACTTGGAAATATCATCAAAATATAAATATTGGTATAATGCCAAGATTGCATATTATTCTGTATTATTAAATCATAAAAAAACTCAACTTTTATCGCAATCACGTTTGGAATGCTCAACATTCTCTTGCCATTTAACTAGAACACATTTTTCTAGATACAAATGGATATATTAATTTCCATAAAAGTGTTATCTTTTTACAGTATATTTAATTCAGATCCAGTTCTATTTCCACTAAAATAATTGCTTATAATACACAGACTCGATTTTATATGACTAATTAGAACAGTGTATGGGAAAAAATAGGTTTGCAGGTAATATTGAAATTAAATATGTTAATCTGTACCTCTGTGTGCACATTTTATATGAGCTTTAATTTGCCAAATAAATTATAGTTCTGTGTTTATAAGGTGCCCTTGAAAGAGTGTCCTATTTTTGAGCACTAATACCATGGGGAAACAAATATACAAAGCTTTTAGCTATAGGGCTACACTTGCATAAATTAAGGCAAGAGCTGTTGGTTGGTAAGTAGAGCTATGGTATCCTTAGCTTTTTAAACACTCTGAATTGTTAACACATTTTTTTTTAGTATGGTTACTAATATTAAGATAATAAATAATATTTAGTTTCAATATCGCACCCTTCAGCCAGGGCATAAATTCATTTTGAATGCTGTGTTGAATTAATGTATAATAAACATACTGCAGTTTGCTATCAGGAATTCTCAATGAAATGCAGGAAGTCAGTTCTTTGCTTATGCATTAGCACTGCCAGTCTTGCTCTGTTTAATTTTAGCTATTTATAAAATTGCTCTACTGACAGTCCTCTTTATTTTCACGTGATTGTTTTAAGGTTAACCAGAAATGGTATGGTGTGTTTTCTGAAGTTGGTTATAGTGCTGATGTAGGAAGACGGGTCCTTAACAAAAATCCTTTTCACAATTAGCCACCTGCAGTCGGGACATCCAGCTGCCTAATTGGGTGAATTGTGGGGTTTCCTGTGGGGCAGGTGGGGGCCTGCCAAGGAGCAGTGGAGTGTCTCAGAAGGGAGTTGGAGCACAGGGGACTTGGGAAAATAATGTTGCCAATGGAAGTAGAATCTGGAATCTGATAGCGGTTGTAGCAATTGCCATTTACTTCTGAGACAAATCAGAGCTGTATCTAAAAATGTTATGTATTATTGTCTAATAGATTGGCTCCTTTTTAGGATATCTATTTAAATAACTTCTAGGACTTTTCCCTTAAAAATGGCTCTGAGGCTTGCATCTTGATGGAGTACGGTGAATTCCCCAGTAACACCCAAGTTTGCAACCACAGAAAGTGGTAAGGAAGCCTTCAAAAAGGATATACCTAATGTTACTCTGTATCAGTCAGCTCAGGCTGCCATGACAAAATATTACAGATTGGGTGGCTTGACAGAAATTTGTTTTCTCACAGTTCTCTAGGCTGGAAGTCCAAGGTTAGGCTGCCAGCATGAGACGTTCTGGTAAGAGCTCTCTTTCTGGTTTGCAGATGGCTACCATCTTGCTGTGTCCTCACTAGCAGGGAGAAGGCGTGAGCCCTGGTATCTCTTGTTATAAGGATATTAATGTTATTGAACCAAGGCTCTACTCTTATGACCTCATTTAACCTCAATTACTTCCGTAAAGGCCCCGTCTCCAAATACAGTCACATTGGGGGTTAGGGTTTCAGCATGTGAATTTTGGGGGGACACAATTCAGTCCATAGTATACACTAAATTATTTAAATATGGGGCTTTTAAAATTGGGGTTCATAACTTCTTTTGGTGCCAAAGAGCCCTTTGGCAGTTTGGTAAAGCCTGTGTATGGACTCCCTCTCAGAACAAAGTGTTTAAATGCATGAAGTAAATTATATAGGGTTACAAAGGAATCTAATTATACGGAAACGCAGTTAGAAAATATTAAAATGCTGTGATCTAGAAATATGGTTCTTTTTTATTAACAATTAGTTAACATGCTCTAGTAATGGATAGATATTTTGAAATATTTGCAGTAACTATAATATAATTGGAAAATGTTTGTGTTTTTTATTGGTGACAAAATCACAGGTACTACTAATACTATTGTGGTTGGTTCCTAACATCTGTAATGAAAGGAAATGTAACATTTTAATCAGACCTGGAAATAAAAGTGAAATTTTTGTTTTTATCCAAATTCAAAGACTTTCTTACTTTTATGAATGGACCATAGTCAAGAACCCCTGGATAGGTCACTTTTTGAGATGTGTTTGTAATTTTAAAATCTGTTTTTATATTAGT